AGGAAAGGAGATTGTCAAAGCTACATAGCCGTAGTTGTAGTTCAGACGTGTATGATGTTTTGGCTGCAAGTGAAGGATGGGTTGGAGATAGAGCAGTGAGAGCTCTTCCTGAAAATTCAAATAAAAGAATGTTTAGGCCACAGTTTAAGAAGACAGTGAAGAAGCAAGGCCAGACAATATCGAAAGGCCATAAGAATTACGGTCTAATGCTCAATTTGCAACTAGGTATCAGGTAGTGACTTCTTATCTGTATTTAGTTTGACATTGAATCTTATCTCAAACCGTAATGTTGCATTGTATGGAGCTTATGTACTAATCATGTATGCATTGGTTCTCTGGTTACATTGCAGACACTCTGTTGGAAGGCCTGGTCCAGCTATATCCCTTGATCTAAAGCCTTCGGCTTTCGACCCGAAAGAAAAAGTATGGACCAAATTTCCACCCGAAGGATCGAAGCACACTCCGCCGCATCAATCTTGTGATTTCAAGTGGAAGGATTACTGTCCACTTGTTTTCAGGTTAGAAACAGTACCATCTCCTTCATTACAGAACCATATGGAAATATAATGATTTGTTAAATTATGATAGTATTTCCTGACATGTATCGTTTTTACATTTCCAGGACCCTTAGGAAATTGTTCAACTTGGATGCAGCTGATTACATGCTTTCAATATGTGGGAACGATGCCCTTCGGGAACTATCATCCCCCGGAAAAAGTGGAATGTTCTTTTACTTGACCAATGATGACAGATACATGATAAAGACGATGAAAAAGGCCGAAGGAAAAGTAAGTCTACTGAATTTTTTTTTGTATCGTATCTTTATGCAGTAGGCACTGTAAAAGTGCACTACTCACTCTTAATGACTAATGCTGCAGGTTCTCATAAGGATGCTCCCGGACTATTATAATCATGTTCGGTCGTTCCCAAACACACTAGTCACCAAATTTTATGGTCTTCATTGTGTGAAACAACTAACTGGGTCTACGCAGAAAAAGGTCAGTTCCTGTTACACAATTTTGGACATCGAACATGAACGTGATTCGAAATCATACGGTTTCAGAAATCAATCTCATATTTTCTTCATTTGGGATTTAATGAGTCAGGTACGCTTTGTTATAATGGAGAATCTATTCTGCACTCACTATGTCATTCATAGGCGTTTTGACTTGAAAGGCTCTTCACATGGTCGCACAACTTGTAAACCCGAATCCGAAGTTGATCCGACAACAACCCTCAAGGACCTTGATCTCAATTATATATTTCGGTTGCAGAAACTATGGTTCCAAGAGTTTTGCAGGTGATTACTTTTTCTGGTAACCTCTTTCTAGTACAATCATCATCTTCATTTGCACAAACTTTTAAGTTTGGCTAAAATATATGAATGTTTTGGGTGATGTTCATGCAGGCAAGTCGACCGAGATTGTGACTTTCTTGAACAGGAGAGAATTATGGACTACAGTCTGCTGATTGGTTTGCATTTTCGAGAAGCTTCCTCGCCTTGTGTTTCCGATGCTCCCTCGCCTACTACTGGTGATTTCTAGTCATCTCTGGAATTTAAATCTTCCTTGTCCATGATAATCTGTTATCCCTTATCTGATTAAGATGTGTTTTGGACTTAATTTGCAGGACATCAAGATTCTGAAAACGAAGACGCTCCTCGGCTTTCTCAAGCTTCGTCTCGGTAATACAAATGTCCTCAGTTTTAGATACTCATGTTTTATCACAACAGTTCATTCAGTTTCTTTCAGTTGTTAAAATCTAAATTGATCACTATGTGAACTTCTCTTGGATGCATTCCTGTGTCTGTTTGTGTTCCTCCTTTTCTTTTGTTCAACGAAAGGAAATGACAAAAGACAACTCGAACTTGATTTCGAGGGCCAAGAGAATTAATGGATCTAGGAAGTTACATGATTTATATGTGATGATCTTCCAATATGACTACTGCAGGCGGTCTTCCATTAGATTGGGTATAAGTATGCCTGCTCGGGTGGAGAAGACGGTGAGGAAAATGGATTGCGAGCCTCAGCTAGTCGGAGAACCGACCGGTGAATTATATGATGTAATCCTCTTCTTTGGCATAATTGACATTCTACAAGACTATGATATTACCAAGAAGCTCGAGCATGCATATAAATCGATGCAGTATGATCCAACATCGATATCAGCTGTAGATCCAAAGCAATATTCAAAACGCTTTCGGGATTTCATTTTCAAAGTTTTCGTAGAGGACACTTGAGAAAATAGTTAGATTTCGACGGCGAAAGACAGTATCCGTTCACGCACATTCAATAATATTTCTTGAGATTTGAGTGTTTAAATGCACAAGATTATCACTTCCGTCATTCACATGGCTACGGAGGATGATCAATGGCAGCGCCGGACACAATTTCGTAATTCAGGGAACGTTTCTCTGTGCACTTTCTTCATCTCAATCACTTTACAGTTGAAGATATAAGTATATTACTCGAATTCGGATGAGTATTAGATAGAGTATATTCAATTTTTCTAAAGTTTTTTTTTATGTATTTGGAGCGTTTTTGGAAGGTATATCATCGTACTTGTTTAAATGTATTGACTCCATTGTCAGACCACTTCATGAAAATAGATCAAACTATGTTAAATTGTATGTTTAACCCTGTATCAAGAGTCACTAAAGATTGCCTCTAATGCATAAACGAATTTCGGTTAATTCGATTAAAACTGAAAAATAAATACACCAGCAATCCGCGCACACATCGTTTTCTTTCATTTTTAATATAAAATAATAAAACCAAATACATAAGGAAGCAAGTGGAGAATATCAAATGGGTGGTGCTGTGCAGTGGACTGAGCAGCATGTGTAACAACGAGAAATAATAATTTTTTAAGATTTCTAAAATAATTTGAATCTGAATCTGAACACCCAAAAATAAAAATATTTATAATTTATAGTAAAGATGAAAATTATCTTATCTTAAAAAAATCATCTGAAAATTACAAATTTAGAAGGTTGTTTCATGAGTTATCTAAAAATTCCAAAACAAAATATCTTAACAAACATTTCAATAAACTCCCTAACAAATTATCTAAAAATTACAAAAGAAAAAACCGAAATTTATAAAATCTTAACATAAAAGATTATCGGATATTCTAAATAATAATATTCAATTTTAAAAAATAGATAATTTGTACACTTGGTCTATAAATATGAAGTCTTCAATAAAAAATAAACAAGAGTGAAGTGAGTTGGTAAAGAGAAAAAAACAAAATGATGGTTGGACTAAGGAATATGGTTATTACTTTGTGTGTTTTGGTGTTGGCATTCACAATGACAAATGCACAAACAGACGCAATAGCTAAATCAAATCCGTCGTCAGAAGCACCAGAAGCGCCACCTGTTACAATAGTGGTTAGACCGATTCCGTCGGCTCCAAAACCATCAAAGAAGCATCGCCACCATTCAAAACATCCGAACCCTTTGAGCCGTTGCCAAGTCCCAATCTACGCTCCCTATTTTGTGAAAAGAAACAAGCAATGTTGGTGCTTGATAGAGAGTTACCGTAATGGGTGTTTTGACAAAATTTGGAGGGCAACAACGACATATTATGGTTTCATGGGAGTTGATAAAATTTGCTGCGATGCTTTTCGGGCTGCGGATGGAACTTGTGGTATGATTTTTGAACGGTATGGATACTTTGTTTATCGACTTAAACAACAATGTTCTCAATTTTATTAGGATAAATCATTGTCATTAAGATTTTAAGATTGTTTTTTAGGCTTCATATTTTCTTTTTTTTATGCATTAGTTTTAATAAGATTTTATAGCTCTAGTAGATATCAATGCTATTCGATATGTTATTCTTAAATTATGTAATAAAATTATGCTTAAATCACCTTATTTTGATAAAATATATTCTTTTTAAGCTTTTTTTTCTTAATTTCTTAAAAGGTTTTGTGATTCTATAAACGATCCAAGGATAGTATTATCTATCGAAATATTCCTATAACTCCTATTAAGGGTTAGTAGCTGAAATCTTATGACTAAAACCCGTATAAATATTATATAAAGATAATATTTAGTCATTTCGTCGTTAGCGATTTCAATCGAATAATTGAGATATCCATGTAGATTGGATCATAACCTTAACTACACCGTTCAATATGAGAAAAAGAAGTATAGTACTATAAAGACTTTACCAAAATAAGCGTATACGAAATACATACAACCTAAACCTTAAACCCTAAATCTTAAATCAAATAAGCTAGGTAAGGAGGGTGATGATAGACTCAAACCCTATAGTTTGGTGGCTGATGTATTGTGGGTCGTTTTATCAGGGTGGCTGGTGTTTTTCGTTTTCTCCAAGGATAATGAGTGGTATATGCAGTTAATCCATAATCAAAATCATTGGAAATAGATTTATAAAGTTCACTTTAAAAAATTAATTTAATTTATTCTACTGATACACTGAGAATCTATTAGAGCATAAACAAACTGAATATATTCACTAACAAATTATCTTCACAAACATTTTAAAGAAATCCCCAACAAATTATCTAAAAGCTTGCAACAACAAAAAATGAGATTTATAAAATCTTAGCCCAAAACATAATTTTTAAAACACAAAAAATATAATTATTTTTAGAAAACTACAACTTCGAAGTATACTTAACTTTTATAAGCTACTAAATGATATTTTTTTTACAAAATCATAACAATTTTAAGAAGTTATGTTTAAAATTTTGTTATTTACGAAGTGATCAATTCAGTTGCAAAGATTTTTTTAAAAAGAAATAATTAGACGGTTTAGGGTTTGGGTTGATGAAAGAGATATTTTCATGGATTCGGCTTATAAGAAAGAGTTGCCAAGCGTTTTGAGAAAAGTTAATCCAAGTTTTGTTGGTGGTGCTGATGTAAAGCATGTTTGAAGTCGGAAGTAGAACATCTTTTAATAGTATGGAGTGATTACAATATAGCATATATTTAGAATTTTTCTTAATTTATTGACAATGAACACACATCTTACAAATACAACTGCTCGAATCCAAATCTTATAAAAAGAATAACATTCCTATATTACATAATCCAATCGGTTTTGACATCTCAATATGTACCGGGATATTTACGACCACTATTGCGTTAGCGGGACGCATTCGAGTTCAATCTCTAACGTTCCTCTCTCAACATTTTGTAGCCTAAGGGAGATCTCCTGTTTAACACTCCCATCTGTTAAGGTTATGGTATCATCTTTTACGAGGTGGTTCTCTTTGCTTGCCACTGGTTTTCCAAGCTTCATGATTCATTAATCTCGGACTTTTCGTAGGCTTTTGCCGCCGCAACAAGCGGTTGAATGTCAATCTCGGCATCCCCCATAAAATCATCAGCCTTGAAAGTATCTTTATCATACACAAGCTGCATATAAAACACGGATATTATTTACTGAACCGTAATCAGCATATTCATGAATGCATGAACACCGGTCTATGTAACTAGACTTGGACGTAGTATCAGATATGCATGTGTTCGACATGGTTCATTTCCCCCCTAATTTTCAAAGCATTTGAAGGGTGTTTAGAAGGTCCTATCCTGTACTCATATGTATTTGGCAGTCCTTTGAGGGTCATATCCTGGTATTTATACCTAGGTATGACTCGAATATGGGCGTAGGACACACAAGGTAGAGTGAGTTTAAGCTTCCATGCTTCTGTATGTAAATCCCAGACAACAAATTTCACATTTTCCTTTCGGGGTTAAAGAATCAAACTCACCACTTTCAAAGGAGGAATGCTTTCTGGAATTGACAACATTAAGCTTTCGTTCCAGATCGGATTTAGGCTGTTCTTTATGACACGAGTCTTTACCGACTGCAAAAAAAGAAGAAAAAAATGTAACTATGAGGAAATTAGATCACTACAATAACATGCTTCATTAGATTTCTTCATTTCAGTTCAACATATAATACCATTCTATCTTATTCAGATTTTAGAATAAATGTCGATCTGATACGTGTGATCAGATTTTTTTTTATGCTTTCGATGTATTTGGAGGGTACTTAGAAATCATATCTTATATCCATATGTCCGACTTAAATATCAGATATAAATACTTAAAGAAAAATAAAATATCGAATTAAAACAACATCAGCGTGTCTATAGAGAAAGAAGCATACTTGTTGACCCAATGCAAGAATGACATAGGGATCGCTAGTGAGCATGTCCCGGACTGCTAGATTGGTGCCTTTAACGACATTCACTTTAATCAGCCCAACAAATTCAACCATGCCTGCCTATAAACAGTAAATTTAAAGAAAAATAAAGTAACATTCAGTAACACACTGATACAAATTCAATAACATTCAGTAAATTTAAATGAAGAATCGAAGCAATACTAGAATGAGTAACAGATCAAACAAAAAAAATTACCAAAGAGTTGCTCTTCTTACTCTTCAGCTGATCACAATCTTTTCTTCCCCAACTGTTTCTAAATCTTTGACCAATTCGATGTCTGCTATGTTTCTCACTATGTTTTTTGTCACTAAAATGGTTGTTGGAAGTATTTCGTAATGTCGACAAAGAAGTCTGATGATGCGGCTGATTGAAGCAGTTCGTTTGTTCATTGCCTTCCAAAAATTGCTGCATCTCATATTTTCTCCTGAGCATGCAAGAAATAGAATACTGAGAAAAATGGATCAAGTGTTTAAAAAGAAAAGAACAGAAAAACAGAACTTTAATTTTGCATTACCTAATGAAATCAGAGCGTTCTTCAATGGAGGAATCTGGTCTGGGTTTACTAAGGCTATCAGGAAGGAAAGCTTCATACTTATTGTTTACTACGTTATTGCCACCCAAATTTACCAGAGAATCAACTTGGTCATCCGTCCATTCATCTAGCTTTACTGATAAAACCTACCACAGTTGCTACTCAAATTAGAAAACCAGCGGATAAAATGTTATCTTGCTTAGACTTTTCATTTGTCTTAAAGTATCTGTATTTCATGTATGATCCTCCAAACACCATATGAACAAATAGAAAAGAACTTTTTAAAAATTGAATATTTTCGGATCAGATATATATACCCATATCAGAGACTCACCCAAGTACGATGTAACAAAGAGTGAAAACATGTGTGATTCTATTCATATTTGTCTGAATTATAATCATAATACTATACAAAGTGTTAGAGAAATCAATAATGAAGAAGTGATTGAATAAGACATTTGAAACTATGTTGCTCTGACTTCATTTCTAAAAAGGTGTATATTTTTAGGTCAATCAATTCAAGATATCTCAAAAAGCATTTATGTTATTTGAACTCAAGAGTAAAAGTTAGATATGAGTATATGTTCAACACAAGTTTGTTTAACTTTTTATGTTTTTCAATATATTCGGAGGATCATAGTTTATACTCATATATGAATATGTGTCAAACATGAACGTAGGATACAGATACTTAAAGCGATATAAAAAGCTCAAGTTAATAAAATTAGTAACTTAAAACTTCATTTAAGCAAAGAAAGAGCATAATCTTAAAAGCATACCTTTGATATGTGTTCCAAGGCTTCTATGAACACCGGAGCATTTGATACAAATAAAAACTCCAAGACTTAAAGATCTAATATGCAGAAGAAGACAAAACAAAAAGCAATACTAATTTAACATACCGAATTTAAGCACCAAAATGAACAGGAAAGACTGACGAAAAGAGAGGGAAATGTTATCCTATATATTAAACAATACATTCTTTTTTTCCCTCTTGAAATGGAGAAAGAGTTATATCTCTATACTACTTGGATTCAAATCAGTATTGGATACGGATGCATGTATGGAAAATTTTGTCATATCTCCATACACAAGCGAGCACGAGTGTTGAATGTGAATATTTCAATAAAAATAAAGAGTAAACGCAATATAGAACTTCTGTGTACAAACAAACTCCTCGAGCTCAAAGAATTGAAATCATTTTCTTTGCTTTGTGTAAATTGTTTATTTGGAATAAAAAGGACAATATGTTTTCAGAATTTATGAACCTAAACTTAAAGGCATAGATTGAGATCTTCTGCATAGATATGAGATCTGATCCTCAAAGATCATTTAAATGCATGGAAAATTTTGAATCCGACTTTTTATATTTTATTTTTCTTGAAGTACTTGTATTTGACACATTTTTAGACATGCGTATTGGAGACATGATCCTTCAAAGGTCTACAATATATGAAAAAACTTATAAAAATTTGAATAGTCCCATGTTAAACACATATTCGAATCTGAAGAAGAAACCAGTCTAAGTGAAAAGAATGAGATACTTACACCCATTTAGGATCCGGAGATCCACAATCAGCACAAATACTATTCCCAGACTCTTCCAACATTCTCTCAAGCTTTGCTTGTGCACCTATTTAATGAATAATGCAAGTTAAAAATGAATTTAGTTCAAAGCATCGATGTCATACGATATCCGTAACTCAAATCTGAAATAACATAGTTGTAACATGTTAGATGGGATAACGATACTTAGAAACACAACATATGACTTAAAGGGATAATACCAGAGGATTTCCGTTCTTTTCTGAGAAACCAAGATGTAGTAATCTCTGCATCACTTGGTCGATCCCAACGTGGTGTTTCTGAACATAAGAGATCATACAAGCAAGACCCTGATCCTACAAGTCCAACATAATCAAATTAACCAAACGTATATTATTAGAAATGTTTATGTTTTCAGAAACATGTAACCATTCTGTTAATTTGGGAAACTATGTTGCACTCTAACTCTTATATGCATATTCGAACATTGATAAAAACTCGAAAAAGAAAAGCATACTCGTATTTAACACTAATCCCAAGCCCAAGTAACATTAGCTTCCTGATAAGATCATGGTTTAACAACAAGAATATATATTCTTCATTACAAAAAAAATATTGTCAAAAATTGCATGCAGCCATTCCATCAAGAGAAAGGGGGAAAATATCATTGCCAGCAATCCAAAATATCAGCATCACTTTCATATCCTTCTTCTGTATGCCATAATCATTTATGGAAGAAAATATTAAATAAAAAAGACAGCCTTTTCATCTCTAATTCCTTAGTATAAATGAAACATTACCAGAAGGAGGTTTGGAGTCAGATTTTTCATACTGCGCAGACATCTCTTACTTCCAAATTGAAGAACCTAATCATTAATCACTGTTCATATATGAATACGTCTAATTATGAGATCCTTAATCTGCATTAAAAATTACATAAACACCTATTAAACAAATAAATGAACAAAAAAAAAACAATAATTTGAATTCAGGAAACAATTCTTACATTATAAATATTCTTGGTTCTCAATTCAAAATAAGATCGTCTGAATGAAGAATGAACCATAGATCAAATTTTCCTATGCGTCGAATATATTGTCGAACAGTAAAAAGATTCTAAAGAAAATCAAACATTCACATAAAGAAGAAGAATTTAAAATGTTGTTCTACATTGTTGGGAAAAGAAAAACAGATTACACTGTCCATGAAAATTTTGCTGGCATTTTAAGCAAAGCTGGAAAAGAAGAAACAAAAAGAATTTTGTTTTCATGTGAAAAATACAAATCAAAGAACCATAGGAATTACAAGTATGAACAACAAAAATGAATTATCCAACAAATAAAAGTTGCCAGAACTTGTCTTTGTTTTTCCGATATTTTTATTTAAAAAAAATTTAATAATAGAATGCGAAGAATAATATAGCCTCCAGACTCCAATTGTGGGAGCTAATTAATGGTTATCAGTTTCTTGCTAGACGCCACAAACGCTAGAGAATCTCATATTTCAACGCGCATTTGTATCGCGTGTAGTTATTCGCTTTGTGCCTTATTTTATTGGGTAAACTACTCAAATGGTCATTAATGTTTGAGTAAATTTTCGTTTTCACCACTGATATTTTAAAAGTAACAAATAGGTCACTAACGTTATCGTTTGCTACAAATTGATCACTCTCTGTTAATCGCCGTTAATGAAAGTGATGGAATACATAGCTAAATTGTTTAAAGCTTACTTGGACTGGGTTAACCGTCACATGGAATGTCAAATATTGAAAGCAATAGCATGCTTCATCTTCTTCCTTGCTTTACTATGGGTTGTTGTTTCATCTTCAACTCCCCTCTAAACCCATTAATTCCCCTCTCATTCCTTTCTACCGTTTCATCTTCTTTCATTTCTCTTTTCATTGTTAATCAAATTGATTTAGTAAATGTTGGTTCTTCTTTGTTTCTGCTGCAGAATGGAAGCAAGGAAGACAGGGATGGAGAAAATAAGAAAAAGAGATCCTCAACCATTGTTCTCAAGTTTGATTGCTCTTGTGAAGGTTGAGCATCCAAAATCTTCACACACATTCAAGATTTTGAAGGTACAATCAACATGTACGTTTAAGATTCCCATTTTTGTTTTGAGTTTTCCTTATTTCTTCGTCTTCATTTCTTCATTCTGTTTTTGTTAACTCCATGAAAGTTGATGTCTCGTTGAGTTTTCATTGATGATGATGACTGTGAATCATACTACTATGAAAGAGAAGCTCGTGAAGAAAACTATGATTTGTTAACTCCATGGTTGGGTCCAGTATTTGGGTTATGCAAACTAATCAAAGCGCAAGGGTACAAGGGAGTTGGTGTCTCCTTATCGAAGTATGCTTCCATCATCTTGTTGCATCAATGGTTGGGTCCAGTATTTGGGTAGTCTCTGATAATAAAGTTGGCATCTAGAGGGAAGCCGAACTTTTTTTTATAACCCATCTATAAATTTTCTTTCCATGCTTTCCATGATGACAATGACAATTCAACCCAAGGAGCATAGGACTGATGCCTTTATGGTTGCTCGTGGTGATCTTGGAATGGAAATTTCGGTTGAGAGCAATAGAATGGGTTGTTGTTTCATCTTCTTCCTCGCTTTACCATGGGTTGTTGCTTCATCTTCTTCATTGCTTTAGCATGGATTGTTGCGTTACCTTCTTCCACTTTCTAACCTTCTGCATCGACGAAATTCTGAGAATTTAAGAATCCATGTGGAGGTCAACCTAGTCCAATTTGTAACAATGATAGCGTTAGTGACTGATTTATGACTTTTTAAACATCAATAGTGAAAATGAAAACATCCTCAAATATTAGTGACCATTTGCATAGTTTACCCTGTTTTATTTCTTTCTTGGATAAACTACAAGAATAATAACTTTTATTTCAATTTTGTTCACTTTTGGTCACATATATTTAAAAAATTACATTTTGATCATTTATATTATCGATTTGTTACATTTTGATCATTGAATCATTAACTCTCATTATTTTGATGATGTGATACATTATTAAAAGTAATTAATTTCCAATTTGATCTTAAATTTTAAATAAAATATTAATTTAATCCCTAAATCCAACTAAAATTCCTTACCATCGTCGGTGATAGTTAGGCTCTAAAATTATCAATTCACTCCTTTTTAACCTCTGAACATGAATACGATGTCTATCACACCAAAAAAACACCTTTATTCCATAACTCTAACCTGAAACCTTTCGATCTTTTGTTAAATTCAATTATAATAATAAATTTATTGTTAATATTCCTTTGGGAAAAAAAATAAGATAACCAGAAACCTATTAATCTAATTCATTTTTTTGTATATTATATTATTATGTTGTAATTCTTAAATAATAATTATTTTAATAATAAATTTTTAAAATTATTTTTCTTCTTAAATATCCGTCAGCTTAAATCGTTAATTTGAAAAAAAATGAAAAAAAAAGGAACAAAAATTTAATGGAAAAGCACATGTGATGCGCAAAACTATTGAGAAATTCCTCAGCTGCTTTTTGTTACATTCCCTACAAAAGTTATACAACTCCACCAAGCTTGGATCTCATTTAAGCTTCATCATTTCAGTGGCTCTTTTTCTCACCTCAACTCTTCATGAATAAATACCATAATTAACATAGAATTTATTGCATTAATTAATTAATTAATAATTTCACGTATCAAAACCTCTCCATTCCCATATGGCTAATAGCATTCGAAACTCCGTCAAAGAACTCCATTCCATTCTTAGACCTTAGCTTCTCTTTGGTCTTTCCTTCCTCCACTTGGATAATGCCTTCATCCGAAATTCCCATTTCATGGAGCTTCAGAAATTCAACTGATGCTCTCTTATTCTTCTTCTTTTTTATCGTTTTATGAGCCACATTTTCGATATCATATTCCAACAACGTTGCTCTAAATCTTGTATTTTTTTTTCGAATCATGTCCGTGTAGTTTATTATAGAGAAAATCGTCTCAGTGACTAAAAATGTCTTATAATATACGATTTTAACCAACTTTTTTTGGATTTAACAAAATGACCAACAAAATCGCAATGCGAAATAAAAATCGCAACGCGAAATAAAAATCGCAACGCGATCTCCAGAATCACAACGCGATTATGAAGAATCGCAATGCGATAGTACAAATTCGCATTGCGATTTTCCAGAATCGCAACGCGAATATGAAAATCGCAACGCGATTCTGACTATCGCAACGAGTATCCGTAAAATCGCAACGCGTATCCGTAAATCGTAACGACAATACGTAAAATCGCAACGCGTACCCGTAAATCGCAACGAGAATACGTAAATCGCAACGCGTATCTGTAAATCGCAACAAGAATACGTAAATCGCAATGCGTATCCGTAAATCGCAACGACAATACGTAAAATCGCAATGTGTATCCGTAAATCGCAACGCGATTTTTAAAGCGCCATTAGAATCGCTACGCGTATTTTATTTTCAAATTCAAAACACGAATATTAATTATCGGAACACTGAACCGTCCACAGTATATCCCGTAATCGCAACTCATAACCTAAAACCTAAAATCACAACTCAGTCCCATCTCCATCTCTCACTCTCTACGGTGAAATCCGTCCCCATCTCCGAAGATTTCTGTCCCCATCTCCGACGAAATCCCTCACAACCATTCACGGTCAGAAATCCCTCACAATCATTCAGAAATGGAAAATCAACCTCCGAGGGTTAGTTTTTTTTAATTATTTTTATTTTAAATTTTTTGCATTATTTTAGGTTTTTCATATTGAAATTGATGATAAGTTTACTGGTAATTTCAATAATAGATTAACCATTTCACTTAGATTTCTTATTAAATTCATTCGATTGCTGCCAATACTGCTAAACTGTTTAGTCTTTAACCCTGTGAAGTTAGTATTTGTCTTTTGGTTGAAGTAATGCAATCCATTAAAGTTTCAATTTGCAGAAGAAGAATAGTTTCTAAACTTAAAATCGCAACATGAAAATGAAAATCGCAACACGAAAATGACTATCGCAACGAGAGAAATGAAAATCGCAACGAGAGAATCGCAACGCGAAACCAAAATCGCATTGCGATTTTCATTTCGCGTTGCGATTCTCTCGTTATGATTTTCATTTCGCGTTGCGATTCTCTCGTTGCGATTTTAATTTCTCGTTGCGATAGTCATTCTCTCGTTGCGATTTTCATTTCAACCAAAAGAAAAAACAGTGTTGCAAATTTTAGTTTCAAGAATAAACTACTACTCTTTATTTTTATTGTTTTTGGTATATCTTCACAGTGTAGTTTTTGGTATATCTAACTTGGTATGTTTATTGTTTTTGTAGAAATTTTTTTCGGCTTCATTGACATTAAGGAATAAAGTTAGCCTAGCCACTACAATTGCTTCAAAGCTTTCACCTGCACAAAGAAATTTGTTTGAGGAAACCTGCTTCGGGCCATGGCTGAGAGTACAGCATCCGGGTGGAGATGCTAATTTGACCCATTTGTGGCTTCAGACCATGACTAGCGATCTACCCGACAGTATACAACATGGTGAGGAAGAGATATGGTTTCATTTTCCACCGGCGTATACTTGTTTTGGGCGGAAGGAGTTCTGCTTAATCACTGGTCTACGATTCGGACACGATGATGTAGGTCGGTACACTCGTCATATCACCCACCCATCATGGTTATCCCGGGTTTTTCCTGATAAGTCAATAGAGAAGCCAAACTTACACGTCGACGACCTGAAGAAATTGTTTAATCAGAAAGATGGTTTTACTCGGATGAATGATGTCGATGTTGTCCGAGTATGCCTTCTAGTATTTTTGTATGCCGACGTTTTAGGCAGAGAGGCCAGACAACCTATTCCTCAGGAGCTAATATTATTGGTAGAGGACCTAAAT